TTTATACCAATTAATTTTATAGCTTAAACACAACTTTATAAAAATTGACTCAAAGGGAAATCTGAATAGCCTTGTATCTATTAAAGAAATTGAAATTCATCATTCTTTCTAACAAAACCCAGTCCCAAATTATTTCAGTTTTTCTTAAATGTTAGAACTTTATCTAACATTTAAGAAAAAATAATACCAATCTTGCACAAATTCATTCAGAAAACAGAAGGTAAGGAAAGGCTTTTAACTCTATTTTTTTTATTTTTTAAATAATATTTTATTGTCAACTCAATTTTATAAGGCTGGTATACCTCTGATACTTGACATCGATAAGAGAGAAACATCTATCAGCTGTCTCCTGCACACCCCCTACTGGGGATGTGCCCGCAACCAAGGTACATGCCCTTGACCGGAATCGAATCCGGGACCCTTCAGTCCGCAGGCCGATGCTCTATCCACTGAGCCAAACCAGTCAGGGCTGAAATATTTCATATATTGTGGTTATGTTTTTGCCATGATCCAACATTAATTACTGCTTTGTTTTATACTGTTCATTTGAACCTTGACTTATTTTGATACATGTATTCCTAGTTATTTTTAAATATGACAAATATTTCTTATTTTCTTTTTCCCCCCGCATTGTTACTTCAGCTGTGTCCTAACATAAATTTTTAATTTTAACACACAAAAAAGCAAACTTAAAAATCCTAACCTCTTTTTTGTGGAACATTCTCTCATGTAACACCTTTAAGGTGTTTACATTGACAAAATGATTTTGCCTACAATTAAGACTTCAATAGATCAAAAGACATGAATAGACAATTCCTCAAAAATGAGAGAAGGAGCTCTATTGAGCTATCATGTTCTGGACACAAGTAGGTACCTTACATTGAATCTCCACCCTAATGCTATGAATAGTAGGTATTTTTCTAATTTTACAGATAAACAGATAGAAATTCAGAGAAATTAGTGAATGCTGGACCTAGGATTAAAATCTATTTTATTTCCAAGCCTGTCCTTTTTTTAAATAATCCTAACACTGCTACCAATGAATTAAAAAAAATAAACATAGTTGAAAAACAAACATGCAGCAGTTAGTAAGTGACAAAGAATTAAAGGATAAATTTGCAACAGCAACAAAAATTTTAAGTCAGTTGAAAGATACATGAGAGTTATTGGGTATATTATAAAACCTTAATGAAATTTAAATGACCTTAATAAATTCAGAAATAGGCTTGCTCATAAATTGAAAGACTATCTCACTGGTATTCTAGATTTCTAGTCAATTTTTGTAAAAAAAAAATGTCCTTAGTTGTATTTATACATATTTAGATTCTAGCATTTTAACTGTTGATAATAACTCATTTCCACCAAACTCCTCTCAAGTAATATCTGTATTTTATTTCTCAATTTTTAATCTGAAATCTAGTACCTGCCCATTAATTTTAGTTGAATGAATATACTACACAGTTATCCATTCAATTGATGGATATTTAGGTTGTTTCCATTCTTTCTATTAAAAACAATGCTACAGTTCGGCCAGTGTTGCTCAGTGGTTGAGCATCATCCTGTGAACCAGGAGGTCATGGTTCGATTCCTGGTCAGGGCACATGCCCAGGTTGAAGGCTTGATCCCAGTGTGGGGCGTGCAGGAGGCAGCCCATCAATGATTCTCTTTCATCATTGATGTTTCTCTCCCTCTCCCTTCCTCCCTGAAATCAATAAAAATATATTTTTAAAAAATAAAAATAGAAACAATGCTACAGTAAGCATTCTTATTCATATCTCCTTTTGCAGATAAGGAACTTTTCTAGTATACATTCCAGTATAGTGGAATTGCTGACTTGGTAATTATGCGCATCTTCAAATTTACTTCTGTTATCATTTGTTCTCCTGACTGATTGTATCAGATTATATTCCTATAATCTTTAGGAGAGCGTCCATTGGATTGTCAGTGTGTGTTACTAATCTTGATATTTTTTGCCCATCTTGATTGGTGTAAAAATGATAGCTCAGTGTTTTTGACATTTAGCTTTTCTATGAAATGCCTACCACTTTTATTGTTTTATCTTAATTTATAAGAACTTAGATACTAATCATTTGTTATGTTTACTACACATATCCTCTACCAATCTATAACCTGGTTGTTAGGGTTTTTTTTTTTTTTTCGCTTTTCTAAATCTTATCTTTGTTTTTTATAGTTTTAATGGTTTGTAGTTTTGTATCTTGTTTAGGAAATTCTTACCTCCAAGATCAACATATTCTATATTTTACTTTAAACTTTATTTTTCTTTTCATATTTAGTTCTCTGAATAGGAATTTGCTTTTGTATAGAGTATGAGGTAGGTTTTCAAGTCCATTCTGCTGGTCCGTGTGTCTGTCCCCACAGTCTCTTGACTTGAATAGGATTATTAAAATCATGATGATTGATAGGACTGACCTTATTCTTTAATTTTTTTGATGTATTTTTATTGATTTCAGAGAGGAAGGGAGAGGGGGAGAGAGATGGAAACATCAATGATGAGAGAGAATCATTGATCGGCTGTCTCATGCACGCCTCACACTGGGGATCAAGCCCACAACCTGGGCATTTGCCCTGACTGGAATCAAACTGTGACTTCCTGCCCTGACCGGTTTGGCTCAGTGGATAGAGCATTGGCCTGCGGACTCAAGGGTCCCAGGTTCGATTCCGGTCAAGGGCATGTACCTTGGTTGCGGGCGCATCCCCGGTGGGGGGTGTGCAGGAGGCAGCTGATCGATGTTTCTCTCTCATCAATGTTTCTAACTCTGTGTCCCTCTTCCTTCCTCTCTGTAAAAAAATCAATAAAATATATTTTTAAAAAAACAAAACTGTGACTTTGTGGTATATAGGTTAACACTCAACCACTGAGCCATGCTGTCCAGGCACAGACCTTATTCTTAAAAATTGTTTAGGATATTCATGTTTTACTGATTTTTTGTATTAATTTCCTTCTCAGCTTCTTAAGGTAGGAAAGGTTGTATCCTGTTGGTATTTTGATTGAAATTGCTTTGAATTTGCAGATTAATTTGGGGATAATTTGCATGAATTGGGTATATTACTCTATGTGTTTACATCTTCTGTAATACCTTTCAATAGTAAAGATATCTGTTCCCTCAATAGGTCTCATACATCTTTTGTTCGGATTTCATTTCAAGTACCTTATATTTTATGTTGTGATTTTAAGTGTTTTTTATTACATTTTAAGTTGGTTAGTAATATATAAGAATATAATTTATTTTCATATGTTGATTTTAAATCTAGCAACCTTGCTGAACTCTCTTATTAATTCTGTAATTTATCTATAGAATATTAGGTTTTCTGGGTAGACAGTCATATTGTAGAGAATAATAATTTTGTTTCTCCCTTTTCATTCTCTTTACCTTTTTTGTTTTTTAACTTAAATTACTGTGCTAGGTAGGACTTCCTATTAACTGAAGTTGAATTTGAAATTTGCCATCAATTTTTGGTAGAACTTTTTTTAAATGTATTTTTGTTATTGGCATATTACAGATGTCCTCCATTTCCCGCCCTTTGCCCCCCTCCATCCTGCCCCTAACCTACCCCAGGCCTTCACTGCACTATTGTCTGTGTCATGGGCTATGCATATAAGTTATTGGATTAATCTCTTCCTGCCCGCCCATACCGCCCCTCACCCACCCTGAGATCTGTCAGTCTGTTCCATGCATCCATGTCTCTGGACCTATTTTGTTCATCAGCTTATTTTGTTCATTAGATTTGACATATAAGTGAGATAATGTGATATTTGTCTTTCTTTGACTAGCTTATTACACTTAGCATAATAATCTCCGGGTCCATCCATGCTGTCACAAAGGGTAAGAGATCCTTCTTTTTTACAGCCACATAGTATTCCACAATTTTGTGTAGTGTACCACAATTTTTATATCTGCTCATCTACTGCTGGGCATTTGGGCTGTTTCCAGATCTTAGTTATTGTAAATAATGCTATGTGAATATAGGAGTGCATATCTTTCTTTTTTAAAAAATTTATCTTGCCCTAACCGGTTTGGCTCAGTGGATAGAGCATCAGCCTGCGGACTCAAGGGTCCCAGGTTTGATTCCGGTCAAGGGCATGTACCTTGGTTGCAGGCACATCCCCAGTAGGGAGTGTGCAGGAGGCAGCTGATAGATGTTTCTCTCATCAATGTTTCTAACTCTGTCCTTCTCCCTTCCTCTCTGTAAAAAATCAATAAAATATATATTTTTAAAAATTTATCTTTATTGTTCAAGGTATTACATATGTCCCCCTCTTTCACCCCTTCCACCCTGACAGGTAGACTGTGGGCATGTTTTTTAATTTCTAGTGTAGCACATAATAGCAGTCAGTAAGTATGCGTTTAAGAAATGTGTGAAAGTGATATACTAACCATTCGTGAAGCTCTTCCAGTACCAAAAGCAAGGATTAAGAAATCATGCTGGTTGACTGTTAGAAAACTGCAACTATAGCTAGATAACATTGGGCAGATACCCCTTACTATTGTTACTATCTATAGCTTTCATTAGCACTGCTAACATTTAACACAGCTATCTACTCAAATCTGTGCAAAACAGGGAAAGCTCTCACTAGAATAGATAAAACAGTCTAGAGTGGCAGTGAAAGTTTTAAGAAATAATACATAACTTTCTCATTTGCTAAGGGTCTCAGGACTTCTTTGTCCCTTTACAGGTCTTGTCTCACACCCACAACACTTCTCTGTATGTGTAGTAGAGAATGGAATGATTCACTTACCATGATGAAAGAGAGAGATTATAAAAACTGTAGTTTTTAGCTTTTTTGTTCTTGTGCTTGTCTTTCAGTCAAACAGAGGTCAAATTGAAACTGCTTAATTTTGGAAATATTTTTCTAAGTATATAAGTATACATAAAGGATTATTTTAATTCTATAATTAGTTCATTATCATGGAGCTGAGATTGTTTCTGAATTTTTTTAAGAAAGCATTAATTTGTACTATTTGTGTTTTTCTTCCTAGTTTCTGCCACTGCCTTCTACAAAGCACAACCTGTAATTCAGTTCATGTGTGAAGTTCTTGACATTCATAATATTGATGAGCAACCAAGACCTCTGACTGATTCTCATCGGGTAAAATTCACCAAAGAGATAAAAGGTGAATTAATTAGCATTTGGAACAACTTAACTATAAAATTCATGAGTATGACAAACTTATTGAAAATTTTTTTAATTATAATTTATTCATGTAACATTACCAGTAAAATAAAGATCATTTATAAAATATTCATTACAATAACAGCTTAGTGTTTCAGTGACAGAAGTACCAAGTAGTGGGATTAATAGCAATACCAGCTAATTTTTTGTTAATACTTTCCTTTATTAGCTGAAGGTGTAAGAGTGTCTTATAGGGAAATGCTTCTATGATACTGTTAAAAATAGAAAGGTTTTTCAAAAACATTGGTACTTCGGAATTGGAATCATTCTTTGAACAAATTCTAATACAATGACTTTCTTATTTTTCTGAAATGATAGCAGAATATTTTATTTCTTAGAAAATTTATGGATAAGGAGCTAGTCTGTTTCATGTGTTCTAGAGTTGGAACTTAGTTATTTTATGTACATTATACAGTTGATCATTGATCTTGCCTCTTTTAATTAGTAACTAAAATTTGTATAGTGGTCTTGCATCATATGTATGTTTTACTAACTTAATTCATCTCTACATGGTCTTCCCCCAAAAAATAATTTTAATATTGTTCTAAACTATATATTTTGTATATATTTAACTTTTTATATGTATGTACATTCCTGTATACATTTAAAAATGCATATACAGTTTTATATGCAGACCTACATACACTAGTTTTTTTCAGCAATTTAAGGGAATTTTCAAGAGCAGTTTTAATTAAGAGTAGTAGGTGAGTACATCTGCTTGCTCTAGTAGTCAATCATTCTTTGCCATTTAGTAACCAGGAAAGAGGTAATCGTTGTAATAAAGCATTACAAGGAAAATCTTTCCTGCTTTGAAAATAAGCATCCATTTATCTCAAGTAATTGAAGTACCAAAATAAGAAAATGTACTCTACTGCAATCATACCATTATCCTTTCATAATCTGTATTAACTGCACAGTTAGCATTGTTGGGAGATAGTACATTACCCGCCATTAATAAGTGATCATCTAAATGCCATGGTTTCCCGTGGAGTTGCTGCTTAGTTACCACCTCTGATATAATGAAGTCACTTAGATTATTTTGCGGTAACTATGCTATCAACTCATATCACCACTTTATCACAGAAAATACAAGATGTACAGAACAAGGATTCAACTGCTGCCCGAAGAGCATGGATTCGATCTTAACTTCAACTGCTCAGGGGCCTAAAGAAATGACTGAAAAAATGACTAGAAAGCATTATAAAGTTGATGTTATAGTGAAGGTAAAGCCAAGTTTATAGGTTAAATATTTGACTTATTAAAGCCAATTTTTTGTTGTTGTTGGATGGAGGGTTTTGGGTTGGGGGGACCTGGGCAGAGAATTATATAATCCATTTTTTTTTTAAATTTCGACTTTCTCCTAAACCTGGGTTTGGGTCTAATCCGTAGGAACCTATAACCCTAGATTTGAGGTAGAAAAATCTAAATTGAATCTAATTAACAAGCTAATGATTTTTTTCTCCAAAATCAAGAAGGCTTTTTTTTTTTAAAGATGGCTCTTCAAAGTACATCGAGTATTACTAAAACCACAGTAACTCAAAAAAAATCAAAGTTATGCCCTGGCTGGTTTGGCTTAGTGGATAGAGCGTTGGCCTGAGGACTGAAGGCTCCTGGGTTCAATTCCGCTCAAGGGCACATGCCTGGGTTGCGGGCCCAATCCCCAGTAGGGGTGTGCAGGAGGCAGCCAATCAATGATTCTCTCTCATCATTGATGTTTCTATCTCCCTCTCCCTCTCCCTTCCTCTCTGAAATCAGTAAAAATATTTTTTAAATTTTTTTAAAAAATCAAAGTTATGTGTTTTGTGCTATATATTTTGGTTTAATTTTCAGCTGGCAAGAGGAATTTGATGAAAACCTAATAGTGATACAAAGTATGATATAATGAATAAATTTCCTTAGTATATTCCTTTGGTTCCATTTGAACTTTTTCCTAAATATTAAGGTTGTTTTTTTGTGCAATAATTCATAGTTAAACAGCAAAATATTGGGGGAAGTGTATGGTAAAAGTACCATATATGTAAGAGTACCAATTTATTTTTTGTCCAAACTTACATATTAGGCTTGTAGAACCTTAATAAATTTTTTAATTCAAGGGAAAGACTTGTAAACAAATTGCTAAGTGATGTAAGATAACAGAAATTGGTTTTAAATTTTCTATTGTATTTTTCCCCTGAACATAACTTTTTACATCTTACATACTCTAAATTATTGGTATGTCCTTCTTTTAAGGCATTCCCTTGATAATATTTTATTTTCTACTCACCTTAGTAATATAGAGGCATAGTAAATGCTCTAATTGATCTGAAATTTTAATTTTATAAAAGTAATTTTTAAAAAAACTATTTCTCACTGATTTAATTAGGTACTCAAAAACCCATACCAATCTGGTACAGTGACACTGTGTTCATATAACATCTTAATTTTTGGTGATATATCAGAAGAAACTACTATGAGTGAACTTTATGTTTGTTTCTATAATTAGTAATTAGATAGGAAAATAAATTATAGTATAGCAGGGTTTCTCAACTTTGGCCCTGTTGATGTTTGGATGGGATGATTCTTTATCATGGCAGAGGGTGGGAGTTAGTGCTACCTTGTGCATTGTAGGATATTTAGAAGCATCCCTGGATCTAAGTGTCCCTAAATCTAGCACCCACTAGATGCCATAGCACCCCGCAGTTGTGACAATAAAAAAATGTCTGTAAAATACAACATAGGAAATATAATTAATAATACTGTAATAACTTTGTATGGTGCCAGTTGGGTACTTGAAATATCGGGGGATCATTTTGTAAAGTATATAATTGTCTAAACACTATGCTGTATAGCTGAAACTAAAACAAAATAATATTGAACATAAACTGTAATTAAAAAATAATTTTATGTTAAGTCTCCGAACATTTCCAAATGTTTCCTGGAGGGCAAAATTACCTCAGTTAAGAATCACTGCACTATAGGAATCACAGATATAAAAGGGAAATAATACAAAAGTAACTATGAGTACTACCAGGGAACTAAAAGTTTCCTTTCATCTACCCATTTTTAGATTCCCACCTTTGGAGTGTAGGCCATAGAAGTGGAGTTGCTAATCTGTGAGCAATAGCCACTGTATGTGTTTAACTCCTCTAGGTAGCTCGAAAACCATTGGCCAGTACAGTAGCCATTAGCAAACATAGCTATTTGAATTTAAACTTGTTAAACTTAAATTTTCAGTTTCTCAGTCAAAGTAGCTATACACTTGATATACTCAGTAACACATTGATAGTGATTACCATATTAGCATAGATATCAAATATTCCATCATTTCAGAAAACTGTTGGACAGCACTGCTTAAAAAAATGTATCCCAAAGAATTTCAGCCAATGATTTAAAAGTTCTTCTTTCCCTTTCTAAAGTAGGTGTATATCCTCAAACCCCTAGAGTCCACAAATGGGCTACAAGAATCCAGGAACATAAAAAATCACATGTTCAATTATGTGCCTTTTCCCGAGTTTATTGCTTTCACTGGATTCTCAAAGAAGTCAGTGATTCCATAAGAAAGTAGGGATCACCTGATCTAGGATTCTTTTGGTTGCATTTGAATTCTAATGGTATTAAAAGCTGTGTCACTATATTATACTTCATCAAAATTGTCACTCCACTTAACATTAAAAGGGCCAGGATTTTTTTTTCCTTCCTGCTTTAAAAAGCTCTGAAGGACTTCATTCTTGAGCTTTACCAAATTCTGATCTTCACTCAGTAAGTGAACAAGGTTTTTATTAATGGAGAACTTTGTCCCATGATCTACAAGCTTTGTAGATTTTATGATATTATTTTTTAATGTGTAGATCTTGACATGATAGAGAAGATGTTTGGAGTTAAGTCTATTGTAATTAATTGTAACCATTATTTGCAATGTTTTATATAAAATCCTTTGTTAATATCATTGCTTTTATCACAAATTTTCTGTTTAGAATTTATTTGAGTTTTTATAGTAGTGAACAGATTTGGTAGCTATAAATATTTTACATTTGACAGTTCTGTAACCTTGTTTTTCTTGTTGGGAACAGGTCTGAAGGTTGAAGTGACTCATTGTGGAACAATGAGACGGAAATACCGTGTTTGTAATGTAACAAGAAGGCCTGCCAGTCATCAAACGTAAGAAAAGCTGGTGTTTGTCAGCAGAGATGATGTGAGGCAGCTTGCTCTAGTTAAAGGATTGGGAGTGTTGCTGGCCCATAATGAGATAAGAGTTGTTAATGTGTACTTTTTTTTTTTCAGCTTTCCTTTGCAGTTAGAAAATGGCCAAACTGTGGAGAGAACAGTAGCACAGTATTTCAGAGAAAAGTATACTCTTCAACTGAAGTACCCACACCTTCCCTGTCTGCAAGTGGGGCAAGAGCAAAAACATACATATCTGCCACTAGAAGTAATGTGTTTAGGCTGCTTATTAATATCTTCTTATTCATCGTTCTGTTGTGGTCTTTTATGGCCTATAACTTTATATGCTCACATTTATTTTATTCTAAGTTTTTGATAATAAAATAATATGGAAAAAATTTATCCATAATCCTACCACTCTAAATGTCACCACTGTTAGCATTTTGGTACACTTCTTTTCAGCCTTTTATTCAAGTTTTTAAATTTTACCTCTAATCATACTGTAAAGCAGTATTGTTTACTATTTTACTTAATATGATATTAAAAAGTAATAGTTTGATGAAGTATATTAAAAATATAATTTCATATGTAATTGGCACTGAGATTTTAAAAAGGATATATACATCTAGTACAAAAATTTTTTTTATTTATAGGTCTGTAATATTGTGGCAGGGCAACGATGTATCAAGAAGCTAACGGACAATCAGACTTCCACTATGATCAAAGCAACAGCAAGATCTGCACCAGATAGACAAGACGAAATTAGTAGATTGGTTAGTACTTAACCTTAGAAATGGGAATTAAAAATATATTAGGGTGAGCTACTAAAGAATCGTGTCCTTATCAGCTTATACCTAATTACCATTTTATGAACTATGAGAGTTACAAGGGATCATGGAAGTAATATAGTGGTGTTCTGGGGGTAAACCTTAGTAGATTCTATGAGAAAGGTTAGACTCTTTTAATTTAATCCCAAACTCTTTAATTAGATACAGAACAGATTCAGAATTAACGTTTCAATTTAGTGAACTGGAACTTTATTGCCTCCCACCTGAAAGAGGAGGGGAAAAGCTTGAAAAGTAAAGGTATCATGATTAGCGATAGTGAGAGGTTTAACACTCATCGTAGGATTGCTTAACCCCCAATATCAGACTGACAACTACAGGATGAACAAAGAAATACTAAAATTTCCTGTGATAGAGGACTGGATAAACATGTACATATACACAATGGAACACTACTTAGTCATAAGAAAGGATGAAATAGCACCATTTGCAACAACATAGATAGACCTTGAGAACATTATGCTAAGTGAAATAAGTCAGAAAAAGCTAAGAACTATATGATTTCACTCATATGTGGGATATAAAACTGAAACTCGTGAACACAAACAGCAGTGTGGTGATTGACAGGGAAGACGGCTGGGGAGAGAAGAGGGTTCTAATATAAGGTGACAAAAGAAGATTTGACTTTGGGTGGTGGTCACACGGTGCAATATACAGATCTTATAGAAACCCACATCTGAAACCTATATACGTTCATGTTGACCAATGTCACCCCAGTCAGTTTAATAAATAAAAAATTTTTTTTCAAGAAATATCAGATGGCTCTCACCATGTAGGGTTTCTAAGCTCTCCCATTGTTCTAAATGGGGAGGAAGGAAGAGTTATCAATACCACTTTATAAAACTGATGTAATAAGGCAAAATGAAAAATAAAAGGCACCTGGATCTTATGTTCTTTTTTCTTTAAATAAAGCACTTCATTTTTTTTTTTTTTTAGAGAGATTTGTGTTCCACTCATTTATGTGTTCAGCAATTGGTTGATTCTTATATGTGTCCTGACAGGGATCAAATTCACAACCTTGTTGTATTGAGACGATGCTCTAACCAACTGAGCTACCTAGCCAGGCTATATTATGTTCTTCTTTAGCATCATTTAAATTGTCCAAGTGAAGAGAAGAAGTCTGGAAATATGAATATTATCTAAAATAACTTAAAAGTACTTTCAAAATCAATCTTTTTTAAAAAATATTTTTTTATTGGTTACAGAGAGAGAAAGGGAGAGGGCGAGAGATAGAAACATCATTGATGAGAGAATCATTGAGGAGATTCTTTTTACATATTTAGATTATATACGTTACTTTTAATAGATTGTTACTCAAAAACTTGAACAATTGCCTTGTTTGATCTTTACCCTGAGACGAAGTAAATGTTTGAAAAACAGTTAAAAATATATATATATATAAATATCCTATCTAATAATAGAGAAACCTGGTAATTAACCATACCTCCGCTACGCTTCCCATTGGCTAATCAGGATATGCAAATTAACTGCCAACAAAGATGGCGGCCAGCAGCCACACAGCTGAAGTGAACATGAGGCTTGCTTGCTCCAGCCATGGAGGAAGTCAAGGTTCTCTCCTGCCGCAGCCCAGCTCTAAGCACCGAAAGCAACAGCTCCAACAGCAACAAAGTTTCAATTATAGAAGCTAAACAAACCAGATCCCTGCTTTCAGCAGCTGAGGCCTCAGAGCTGGAGCCAAGCCTCAGAGCTAAAGCTGGCCCAGAATAAAACAAAAAAAAGA